GCGCACCTTGAGGTCCCCCGTCAAGTCCCGCTGGGGCGGAGGGGGAGCAGCCTGAGGTCCCCCGGCCCAGCACTGGGGCAGGGTGTGCACCTTGAGGTCCCCTGTAAAGCTCTGCTGGGTGGGGGGCACAGCATCAGGTCCCCCGGCCTTGCTCTGGGGTGGGGGGCCACGGCCTGAGGTCCCCTGGTCTGGCGCCATGGTGGGGGAGCAGCCTGAGGTCCCCTGTTAAGCCCCGCCAGGGTGGGGGGCACGGCCTCAGGTCCCCTGTCCCAGGGCAGGGGCATGGTCTGAGGTCCCCCGTCAAGCCCCACGGGGGGGGGGGGGGGGTGGCGGCTGTGAGGATTTTATTTTATTACTTTTTTAAATACATTTTTATTGATTTCAGAGAGGGAGATAGAACCATCAGAGATGAGAGAGAGGGAGAAACATCAATGATTGATCGGCTGCCTCCTGCACGCCCCCTACTGGGGACTGAGCCCGCAACCCATGCCCACAACTGGGGCATGTGCCCTAACCAGAATCGAACCCTGACCTCTTGGTTCATAGGTCTATGCTCAACCACTAAGCCACACTGGCCTGGCTGACTTTTTTATTTTTAAGAGAGTGGAGAGGAGGGAGCAGAGAGAAACATCAGTGTGGGAGAGCCACATCAATGGGTTGCCTCACACTCTTGCCCCGACCGGGAGCAGGGATCAAACCTGCAATCCAGGTATGTGCCCTTGACCAGGAATCAAACCCAAGATCCTCAGGTGTGCAGCCTGATGCTCCAACCATCAAGCCATGCTGGCCAGGGCAAGGTCAAATGTATTTTTGAGGTTAATATTATATTAAAACTTTACAGGCAGTAGAGGGAGAAACTAACAACCCAGCTATAGAGGTCAGTTTGTGTTGTTGCCAGCTCACAGCTGGCAGGAGAGGGGCTAGTGGGAGCTAGGAGTGTTTGCACATGAATGTGTGTACTCAGGCATGTGAGTGAGGAGTGCCATACCACACTCTCCAGCCAGGCAGCTTCCGGGTCCTGGGGCCTTGGGGAATCTGGACTTCTTCTTGGTTTTAGTGGGGGGTGAGGATAGTACCCCTGACTTGGATCCATATTCTGTTGTTTCCCTGGAGTTCCAAGAGTGGACTTAGATTTCCGCCCCTTATTAAGCCTGAAGGGATCAGTGTGGTTTAGAGAGGGTTGCCACGTGGCTGGTCATGCTTGGCTGGTGGCTGGTCAGACTCTCTTATAAGCCTCACATGCTCCTGAGGTGCCTTATCCCTCTCCCTAGTGAGAGGAGGTGAAATGTGAGGCAGAAGTGGGTAAGATGAGGGCCACCCAGGTGGTGTGCACTTTCCTCTTTTATTTCACATACTACTAGTAATTTTTATGTTTCAGGAAAAGATTCAGCTACCACCAAGAATGTTTCTTTATATATATTGATTGATTGATTGATTTCAGAGAGGAATGGAGAGGGAAGAGAGAAACATCAATGATGAGAGTCATTGATTAGCTGCCTCTTGCATGCCCCACACTGGGGATTGAGCCCACAGCCAGGGCATGTGCCCCAACTGGGGATGGAACCATGACCTCCTGGTTCACAGTTTGATGCTCAACCACTGAGCCACGCCACCTGGACTATTTCTTTATATGTTAAAGCTTATACTACCTGATAAGAGGTCTTAGGAGTTCTTCTAGATTAGGAGTCAGTAAACAATTTCTTGACAGGCTATATAGTAAATATACTAGACTTTGTGGGACAAGAAACAAAATTGAGGCTATTCTTAGGTATTTAGTCCAGTCATTTAAAAATATAAATACCATTCGGAGCCTAAGAGGGTGGCCTGCAGGCTGACCCTGGTCTAGACCACCTTCTCAGCCCCTTCTTTCAGCATGATATATATGCCCCCCACACTGCCATGAATTGAAATCCAAGTGCCATGAGCTGGCCACACACTTTCAGAAAACCAACACGAATGTGTCTAGGTACATTTACATCAAGAGACATTGTGAGCCAGCAGTGCCAGTCCTGTTGGCAGCCTCATACCAGTGTTGCCACTGTATGTGTCAGGAGAAGCATTACCAGATGAAGAGGTGACTCTTTCAAGTGATATCCAACAAAAATTTTACAATCAAATTAAAATTGGGCAAAGGACTTTAATAGACATTGTCTCCAAAGAGAATATACAAGTGGCCAACAGCACATGAAAAGATATAGCCTTCAGAGAAATGAAAATCAAAACCACAATGAGATACCACCTCATATCCATTAGAATGACTCTTGTTTGTTCATTTGTTTTTATTTTTATTTTTAATTTTTTGGTTAATTTTCACCTGAGGATATTTTTCCAATGATTTTTAGGGAGAGTGGAAAAGAGAGGGCAAGACAGAGAGAAACATCGATGTGAAACACATTGATTGGTTGCCTCCTGCACAAGCCCTGACCAGGGCCTAGGCCAGGGAGGAACCTGCAATGAAGGTATGTGCTCTTGACCCGGAATCGAACCTGGGACCCTTTGATTCACAGGCTGAGGCTCTATACACTGACCCAAACTGGCTAGGGCTGTTTTGTTTTGTTTTTAATATATTTTATTGATTTTTACAGAGAGGAAGGGAGAGGGATAGAGAGTTAGAAACATCGATGAGAGAGAAACATCGATTTAGCTGCCTCCTGCACACTCCCCACTGGGGATGTGCCCGCAACCAAGGTACATGCCCTTGACCAGAATCGAACCCGGGACCCCTCAGTCCGCAAGCCGACGCTCCATCCACTGAGCCAAACCGGTCAGGGCTGTTTTTTGTGTGTGTTTTTTAAACAAAAACAGAAATATTATAACAAATGTTGATGAGGATGTGGACAAATTGGAGCCCTTGTGCACTGTGGTGGGAATGTAAAGGTGTAGCCACTGGGTAAAATAGTCTAGCGACTCCTCAAAAAGTTAAACATAAAATGACTTTGTGACCCAGTAGCTCCACTTCTGGGTGTATAACCAAAAGAAATGAAAGCAGGGTCTCTAAGAGATATTTGTACACCCGTGTTCACAGCAGCCAAAAGGTGGAAGCAACCCAAGTGTCCACTGACACATGGCTAGATAAACGAAATGGGGTGAATCTATGTAGTGGAATATTCGCTTTAAAAAGGAAGGAAAATCTGACAACATACTACATCGTGGATGAACCTTGAAGACATTATGCTGAGTTAAATAAGCCAGACACAAAAGGACAGACACCATATGATTCATTTATATGATGTTCCTAGAGGGGTTAAATTCAGATAGACTGAAAATAAAATGGTGGGTGCCAGGGGGAGGCCAATGGGAAATCAGTGTTTAATGCGAACACAGTTTGGGACGATGGAAAGTTCTGGAGATGGATGGTGAGAATGGTCACACATGAATGTGAATATATTTAAATGCCCCTGAACTGTATACTTAAAAGTAGTTAAAATGGTATATTTTATGTTAAGTGTATCATATATGTATTTTTTAAAGAAGGTAGGCAATTTACAAAGGTATTTGCGATGTTACAGCTTTGCTTTTTTTGCATAAAATCTAAAAATTGATTTTGATTTTTCCTCTTTATAAGTGTATCATATATGTATTTTTTAAAGAAGGTAGGCGATTTACAAAGGTATTTGCGATGTTACAGCTTTGTTTTTTTTTGCATAAAATCTAAAAGTTGATTTTGATTTTTCCTCTTTTAAAAAAAATGTTTTTCAAACAAAGCATACAGTCCTATATAATAAAAGCCTAATGTGCAAATTGTCCCCTCGGGCGGTCGTTTGACTGGGAGACCAGGATCACTATGATGTGCGCTGACCACCAGGGAGCAGCGCGGACCATGGCGGGCGTTGGCGATGCTGCGCTGGCAGCTGGTGGAAGTGGAGATGCTGTGGCCCCCCCCATGGGCCCTGATGAGAGTGGGACTGTGGTGGGATGGTGGAGCAGATGAGCAGGCGGCGTTAGGCCATCACCCTGCAGATGGTGACCAGCAGCAGGGGCCAGGGCTGCTGCCCGGCTCCCAGGCACTGAGGGAGCCAGACTTGGGGATGGGGGGCGCGACCGGTTGCCCTGTAGGTGGGATGGTGGAGCAGGTGAGGGGGCGGTGCCAGGCAAAGGTGGGGTGCCAGGTGGGGCTGTGAGGCTGGAGGCACAAGCTGGGGCTGCGCGTCTGGGGGAACCAACTGGGTCCTGATCCCCACATGCCACCCCAAGGGACCCCACCCGTGCACAGATTTGTGCAGCGGGCCTCTTGTCTTCTTATCATTAACCTGGTTGCTGCCGTCCTGAAAACATATTAATGTGGTGGCTGACACTGAAATAGGGTTCTGATCTGGGCTGAGACCCTTACAGACATAGGTGTTCTTATGACAAGATGTTGACTTCCTGACACCCCAAAGGTAATGCTCTTCTCATGAGAATAGCTGTCCTTAGGCTTGTACAAGTGATTCAGACAGAGTGTGGCACTGCTGGCTCAGGCTGTGTTGGCTCTGGTTTTTGGTCTCCTGGCTCTGGGTAGCAGGGATTCTGCAAGGGAATAGGGCTGGTGTTTGCCCTGGGGCTCTTACGATCCCTCTCTAGGCTTCTTCAACACACAAAGCTCCTGTTGCCTGACCTAGTCTTGTGTGGGCTGTGGCCCCTGGGAGGAGATGACTGGACTGTTGACTGCCACCTGAGGCTCCTGTAGGGATGATGCTAGGATTCATGTTCCCCTGGGGGAGCTGAGTCTGTGCACCCATGAATGGACTTGTGAGCTCATCAGTAGTGCCTGTGAAATTCATGGCTTAGTTACTTAAAGTTACTTAGTTACTTTAAAAAAAACTGTGTTTTTGCTGTTATAACATAAAAGGTAATATATTTAGTAAGATTATTGACTGAATTCGGAAAGTTATTCTAGCATTAAATTTCTAATTTGTAATCAAGAAAGGGCTGCCTTCCAGAGAGGGTACTGGGATGGAGGAAGCCTGTTTACTAAGGAGATAACTGCTTTCCAGGGCTCACAACCTTGACTCGGGGGCTTAGGCTTTGGGAGGACCCTTCACTGTATGGAATCCCAGGTCCTCTGGCCTGACATTGTGCAGCTGTCCCCAGAGGGGGCCATAAATGGCTTGTAGAAAGTCCTCTTGCTTCTGTGGCCCTCAGTGATGGAAACAAAGCATTTCCCTCTGCATCCTGGTTGTCATTGTGGCTCCATGGGGGTTGGGTCTGTCAGCCCTGTTTTGGTCTGAATAGTTTTTTGGGTTTTTTTTGTTACCCTCACCTGAGGATATTTTTCCATTTATTTTTTTTAAATATGATATTCCTTTTTAAAAAATATTTCTTTATTGATTTCAGAGAGGAAGGAAGAGGGAAAGAGAGATAGAAACATCAATAATGAGAGAGAATCATTTATTGGCTGGCTCCTGCACATTCCCTACTGGGGATCAAGCCCGCAATCCAGGCATGTGCCCTTGACCAGAATCGAACCTGGGACCCTTCAATCCGCAGGCTGACGCTCTATCCACTGAGCCAAACCAGCTAGGGCTCCATTGATTTTTAGAGAGAGAGAAAGATAGAAATATTGATGTGAGAGAATACATCAATCAATTGCCTCCTGCGCGAGCCCTAACCAGGGCCCGGGCCAAGGAGGAGCCTGCAGCCAAGGTACGTGTCTTTGACCGGAATTGGACCCAGGGCCTTTCAGTCCACAGGCCAACACTCTACCCACTGAGCCAAACTGGCTAGGGTAGGTCTGAGTAGGTTTGATAGGGAAGGGGAGAGTGTGAAATGTCAAAGCAGAAGATACTGAACTGTCTCAAAGTGGAGAGCAGGCCGGCGCTTCATAGGAGGGTTGCCATGGCTACTCACTTGGGGAGAAGCCACATGCCCAATGCCTGAAGACTGTAGGCTTGCATGGTGATGATGCTGTTCTGTGGTAGGTTGGAGGACCTGAGGGCATCCTGCAGAATGGGGCTGTGGATGACAGTGTGGCCAAGACCAGCCAGTTGCTGGCCGAGTTGAACTTCGAAGAAGATGAAGAAGATACCTATTACACAAAGGACCTACCAGTACATGCCTGCAGGTGAGCATCAACAGTAGAGGCATCCCAGAGACCGCTGTTGGTCACATGTCCTTGGGAATAAAGAGGTTGCTAGGCCAGTGTACATGTTACCAGACAGGAGGGTGGGCTCAGCACCCTCTGTCACCCCTGATTATTACAGCAGGTAGGGAAAGGTTCCCCTCTTGGCCTTCCTCAGGTCCTGGGGGTGTTCCTGGTACCTGCCTCACTCATTAGGAAGAACTCTTCTCATTGGGTGAGCATTTGGGTTTATAGGGTAAATAGAGCCACTAAGATTTCTCTTACAGAGAGATTACTGTCGGATTCTTTAAAATGTCTGCTTCCTGAAAAGTTGGAAGTGGACAGTCAGTGGGTAGACCTGCATATTGACCAAATTTGGAATTCTCATCGAGAGCAGGACCCATCCCTTACGTTTAGACTTATTCTTGCTTTTTTGTTACATGCACAAGAGGAAATTGAGACCAAAAGAGGTAAAATGATCTTGCTTAGGGCACTCAGCCAGTTGGGGCAGCTTTGAGCCTGGACTTCTATTCAGCCCTGCCTGCCCTTTGGGCACACTGCCCCCAGTGTCTACCCACCAAGGGACAGAGCGCTGTATCCTCCCGCCCCCACATCCCCCAGTTTACCTTATTTTAGCTCTTTGTTCACTCTCATTACAAATGTTTGTTTTTGATGTTTGTTAGTCCTCATTGGAGGATATTTTTTCCCATTGATTTTTTTAAAGAGTAGGCGTGGGGAGGGGGAGGGAAACGTCAACGTCAGAGGAAGACATCACTTAGTTGCCTCCCACCCTGACCAGGGTCTGGGATTGAACCTACAACCCAGATACATGCCCTTGACTGGGAATCAAACCTGTGATCCTTTGGTGCATGGGCCAATGCTCTAACCACTGAGAAACACCAGCCAGGGCTCATTTACAAATGTTTTTCCATATATATGAGTGAGGTATTAGTGTTCCTGTTATATACACAGTTGCCAGTCCTGGTGAAGCTGCAAGTGGTTACAGTCTATATAACTCCTTGGTCCTCCCGGCTGTCCATGTGTGGAAGGTTTGGTGGGAAGGTTCTTGGTTGAAGCACATTCTGGTTTGAGACCGAGTCTTGGCTTCATACACATACAGACTCTGTGGAGAGCCAGTGGTTTTGTTTTGGGTATGTTAACTTTTAGAAAAACAAGGTGGGGCGTATTGTGGTGGGGGACTCTCCTGATGTGCTCTTTTGGAGCTGAGCTCTGTCACCCAGGAGCCTCTGCTGCTGGGTCCGAGTTGAGCGTTCCTGGGAGCATGGTGCCCTCTGCTGGAGTGTGAACGAAGCATAGTCACAGCTCACTTTCCAAGTGCCCAGAGCTACCTACGGACACCGCTTTCATAAGTTACATTCCTGAAACTGAAGGCCATAGGAGTGACCAGGTTGCCTTTGGGGTGTTGGGCTCACTTGGCAACCTGCACAGCACTTGCTCCCTACTTCGAAGGGGCTTTGCTGCAGTCTGCATTATCTCTCAGTGTCTCGACAGTACCCCAGCTCCTTTCTGCATTCACAGGACCAGGAAACCTCAACAGTTAACTGATTGGATTTTGTTAGTAGGAACGTTGGGCTTGAGTATGTTTTTAATGAAAAACTTTAAAATGTTGTAAGAGGAAAAAATTTTACATTCTGCCAAATTAAAACCAGAGAGCGATCTTCCAGCTTTAACTGTTCATTTTTACTTTTTAGTTACTGTGGAATACATGATCCTGCTTGCGTGGTTTACTGTAATACCAGCAAGAAGTGGTTCTGTAACGGACGTGGAAATACTTCTGGCAGGTAGGTATCAGACTGCCATGTGTCTTTAATCAGACTGTGCTCAGATTTGTGTGTAAATTATGGAAATGCTAAAGCGAAGCACAATATAAAATCATGCTAACAAACCTGGGTTTTTTTCCTTCTCTGTGACGGGTTTAACTTGAAACAGATGGTGCTGTGTGAATGCCTTAATGTATTTACCCTTGATTTATTCTCTCATTCTTTTTATTATGCCAGTATGGTTGGCTTAATTCTCATTCCTAGTTTTTATTTATATTTTTCTGCAAGATGAGCTCCTCGCATTCCTGTTCATCTTCATTAAGGGGTGCCCGGGGAGGATGTTCCCAAGACAGTATCGGGCATCCATGAGAGCCACTTCCTGAGAAGGCTCCCTCAGGCCTGAACTCATCGAGTAGTTTAGAGGCTAACACGGGCCAGATCCTGAATCATCAGATTAAATCAAGTTCATCTGACCAGTGGTGGCTCTGGGCTCCCTCCTGATCACCAGCACTTGTGACTGAGCCCTTGCTTGTGTTTGGTATTGGGGTGAGAGCAGTGTGGTGGTGGTGCTTAGGTTGTAGGGAGAGTCGGTCTGTCTAGCTCGAGTGTTGGACTCCTTGGCCCCTACCTCGGGTTCATTACATGGCCACAGAAGCAGAGCAGGGTCTCAGTGGGCCAGGGCTCCAGGTCTCCAGCAAGGAAACAGCATCTTCTGAGGTTCATGTTTTGGAGAAGTAGAGACAAAAATCTACAGGCAGGTTTATGTGCACAGAGCCCCATCCACCCTCCTGTGCCTTCAGGAGCCGTGGGCCAGGCCTTACCATCATGCTGCCTAAGGACACAGAGTGATTGGATCTTGGGTCATCTCACAGTTAGTATGCAAATTGTGGGGTTCTGAGCAAGGCAAGAAAGGGGGCTAATGTTTTTAAAACACTTAAAAGGAAAAGCATCTCCAGGTGACCACAAGAGATTCTAGTGCTATTTTCAGAATGTTCTGGACAATTTGTGTTACCATGTTTGCATTAGTTCCTCTCCTGCAGGGAAAGCAATTAAATAAAACTTGTCTTAGTTGGCAGCCCTAGCTTCTGGTCAGCTGTTAAGATCAGGGAAGTGAGGGAAGGGCCTCCATGAGAAAACAGGCTCAGTCAACCAGCATCACATGCTCTTTACAAGGCTTGAGTGAAAGCTGACGGGGTGCCTGTTGCCACTGTAGGGGGGGTGAAGTGGATACAGATGGTATAAGAGGAAACCACTGGTTCTGGTAACATGCCCAGTGGTGGTGGCTCCAGAGAGGAGTGGGGGATTTGGGGGGTGCTGAGAATGGTGATGGTTGGTTAGATTATCTGATAATAGATTTTGTGGGGCCAGAGAGGGTTCCAGCCTAACCTTGTGACAGGAAGAGTTTACTGATGTGAAGAGAGGGCTGCCCAAGTAGTGTTCCACAAATCTACAGAGAGCCTGAGGCAGGGCCTGTACCATCCGTGAGCCCCAGTGAGGCTGGCTTGGCACAGTCCATGAATTAGGTGAGCTGTAGCCTGGAAATGAGAACAATGAGAACTGGCCACACCGAGACAGCAGGATTCCAGAGGGTTTCATTGCTGGCCCTTGTGCTTCCTGAGAGTAGCCCTGAGCCCCCTACTTGATATTTTTTATTGTCCTCAGGTTTTAATACGCTTGCTTATCAAATTTCCTGGCCTGCAGCATATTAGGAGTGGGTTGTTCTTGGCAGCCAGCACAGAGGTCACTTCCTCGGGGCTTCTATAGGCAGCCCTGTGCCAGAGAAGTGACTTTGAAAGAAGCATCAGAGAAGCTACAAGGAGCAAGAGGAGTTGGGAAAGGGGCAGGGGCTGTAGATTCAGTGAGGCCCAATAGTTGGATTTAAGAAAGCAGGAACTGGATGGGGTGGGAGGTGAGAGGCAGAAACTGTGAAATGTGTTAGGAAAGTTCTCCTTAAAAGTGGTTCAAGGCGGATTTGTGCTCAATGGGGAGCCAGTTCAGGGGCGGCTGGTCTCCTGGGACACCAGATGGATGAGGTGTGACCAACCCTGCTAATGGACCGTGAATGGTACCGGAACTTTTAACAGGGATTCAAGAATTGGAAGTGGTGAAAAGCCAAACTTTTGAGTGTTAACTATTTATCATTTCCTGATTTAAGCCACATTGTAAATCACCTTGTGAGGGCAAAATGCAAAGAGGTGACTCTGCACAAGGATGGGCCCCTTGGTGAGACAGTCCTGGAGTGTTACAACTGTGGCTGCCGCAACGTCTTCCTGCTTGGCTTCATCCCTGCCAAGGCTGACTCAGTGGTGGTGCTGTTGTGCAGGTGAGGGCTCCCCGATTTCCCCGGGGGCCAGCTCTGACTCAGTGGAACTTTAAAATGGTTTCTGTTGACTGGCTAGATGTTTGGATGTTCGGGGGTTGGGGCTTGTTGGAGAGCTAGGACTGTCAAGTAACTCTGCGGGTGTGTTCTGGTTAAATCATAAAAATGATTCTGTAAAACCAAAGTCTGTTTTGAGTTTTAAGAGTTCAGAGCTCAAGTGTGTGGGGAGATGCAATTTATTACTAACAATTTAAAGGTAATGTGATCACATAATGAAAGATAGGGACTGCCACCTTGGGGTGAAAGGTAAGTCTTGGGGTGAAGGTCATCTTCATCTGGGCTCTTCTCTCCTCGGGGCTTCTGTAGGCAGCCCTGTGCCAGTCAGAGCAGCCTCAAGGACATCAACTGGGACAGCTCGCAGTGGCAGCCCCTGATCCAAGATCGCTGCTTCCTCTCCTGGCTGGTCAAGATCCCTTCAGAGCAGGAGCAGCTTCGGGCCCGGCAGATTACAGCCCAGCAGATCAACAAGTTGGAGGAGCTTTGGAAGGTGAGGCCTATTGAGAATGCAGTCTTCCTCAGCACTAGTTTCCTGTAGACTTGGGGCAGGACAAGGGGTGCTGTCTTCGTAAACAGGACATTCTGGAAGTATTCTGGAGCTTCTACCAGGAGGAGTCCTGACAGGAACTGGCCCTGGGCAGCTATGGGTGGACATGTCCAGAGGAGCCTGGGCCTTAGTAGATAGGACTATGAGTGCATTTTATTGTTTGTTTGTTTGTTTCCATCTTTGTTTGTTTGTTTTTAAAATCTTTTTGTTGAGAGTATTACAGGTGTCCCCCATTTTCCCCCCCCATTGCTCCCCTCCACCTAGTTCCATCCCTCCCCAGGCCTTCACCACCCTACTGTCTGTGTTCATAGGTAAGATCTTTGGTTAATCTCTTCCCGCCCCCCTTCCCTCTGAGATTTGTCAGTCTGTTCCATGCTTCCATATCTCTGATTCTATTTTATTCACCAGTTTATTTTGTATTGATAGATATGTATTTGTTGCCATTTTATTGTTCATATTTTTTATCTCTTCTTCCTCTTCTTGAAGAATACCCTTCAACATTTCATGTAATACTGGTTTGGTGGTGATGAACTCCTTTAGCTTTTTTCTTGTTTGTGAAGCTCTTTATCTGATCTTTAATTCTAAATGAGAGCTTTGCTGGGTAGAGTAATCTTGGTTGTAGATCCTTACTATTCATCACTTTGAATATTTCTTGCCTCTCCCTTTTCGCCTGCAAAGTCTGTTGAGAAATCAGCTGACAGTCATATGGGTGCTCCCTTATAGGTAACTAACTGTTTTTCTCTTTCTGCTTTTAAGATTATCTCTTTGTCTTTAACCCTTGGTATTTTAATTATGATGTCTTAGTATGGGCCTCTTTGGGTTCCTCTTGTTTGGGACTCTCTGTACTTCCTGGACTTGTAAGTCTATTTCTTTCACCAGGTAAGGGAAGTTTTCTGTCATTTTTCACATAGGTTTTCAATATCTTGCTCTCTCTCCTCTCCTCCTGGCACCCCCATAATGTGAATGTTGGTATGCTTGGAGTTGTCCCAAAGGCTCCTTACACTATCTTCATATTTTTTTAATTTCTTTTGCTCTTCTGCTTGAGTGTTTGTTTGTTGTTTTTTAAATATATTTTTATTGATTTCAGAGAGGAAGGGAGAGGGAGAGAGAGATAGAAACGTCAATGATGAGAGAGAATCATTGATTGGCTGCCTCCTGCATGCCCCCTACTGGGGATCGAGCCGGCAACCTGAGCATGTGCCCTTGACCAGAATCAAACTGGGACCTTTTAGTCTGCTGGCTGATGCTCTATCCACTGAGCCAAACTGGCTAGGGCAGCTTGGGTGTTTTTTACTTCCTCATATTCCAAATTGTTGATTTGATTCTTGGAATCTTCTACTCTATTGTTGAATCCCTGTAAAGTATTCTTTATTTCAGTTAGTGTATGCTTAATTTCTGACTGGTTCTTTTTCATGTCTTTGACATTCACACTAAGATCCTTGAAAGTCTCATGAAGATCCTGAGTAATCTTATAACCATGGTTTTGAACTCTGTATCCAGTAGTTTGCTTCTATTTCTTTGATTTGTTACATATTTCTTTGTCACCACATTTTGACTGCTTCCCTGTGTTTGTTTCTGTGTATTAGGTAGAGCTGCTATGTCTCCTGGAATTGGTAGAATAAAAATAGCCTTATGTAGTAGATGTCCTGTAGGGCCCAATGGCTCAGCCTCCCCAGTCACCTGAGCTGGGCACTCTAGGTGCGCCCCTTTGTGGGCTGTGTGCACAGTCTTGTAATTGAGCCTTGATTGCTATTGGTATCACTAGGAGGAGTTGACCTCCAGGCCAATTGGCTGTGAGGACCAGCTGCGACTACAGTGGGAAAGCTACTGTGCAGCAAACACCCCTGTGGTGCAGGTCTTGCTTCAGTGGGGCTTTGGTGCTCACTGAGTCTGCCTCTTGTGGATGTGTAGAGTTATAATCTGTAATGGTCTGAAGCTGTCCACTGGGTGCACTGGCTCCAGGGCCTCCAGGGAGGTGCAGTCAGCCACTGCCTGGGGCCACCTGGCAGGAGCTACAGAGGGATCTGCAGGGGGCTGTTTGTACTGGGCTTGGAGGTGCCCAGGGACGGCCCAGCTGTGAAGCAACGTAGACTGATGCTAATGCCCGGTCTTGGGCCTTTTGTTGATAGGTTTGGGCACACTGCCACCAGCTGCAGCTTGTTTGGGAGATTTTAGCAAAGTCTGAAGCCTGAACCAGGACAGGCCATTCATATGGAAAAGTTGCTGCAAACAGCTTGGGTGGGGCTGCAAATTGGATGGGACCGGGTTTCAAGGAATCCCCAGAGTGGAGCAAACAGTATGCTCCAGGTGGATGGAAACTCAAATATGGCTGCCAGCCAGCTCTGCGATGTAGGAGGCCCCAGCACAGGAACAATGACCCTTGTGATACCCCTGTCTGGGAGAAAGCCACCCCTGAATTCTGCCCTGATGCCAGACAATCCACTTCCTCCCCATATATGTCTGGGTCCCCCAAAGCCACCTGGTGCTGGGAATCGGAGTAAGTTCGTGCTCTGGCCCTTTAAATGGAACACCTGGGTCTCCAGCAGCCTCTTGTCATTCAGCCACAATCCCTGCTGATGTTTACAGCCCGTAGTTACAGGGACTTCTCTTCCCTGCTCTAGAACTCTGGGCTGGGGATCTGGTGTGGGTTTGGGACCCCTTGTTCCTCACAGGTGGCCTCCGCAGAGATGATCTCCCTCCCAATTAAAAAAAAGGCACACATGAGTGTTAGAACAGCCTGTTCCCGGCCTCCGCCCCTCCTACCAGTCTCAGTGTGCTTTCTTCTTTACTTCTCTAGTTGTAGGACTTCTGTTCAGCCAACTTTCAGGCAGTTCTGAATGATGGTTGTTCTGTATTTTAGTTGTAATTTTGATGTGGTTGTGGGAGGCAGCAAATATAGGTGTTTACCTCTGCTGCCATCTTGGTTCCCTCCCCTGTGAGTGTGTTTGAAAACTTTGCTGGGACTTAGATGTATCTGAGCCAGGGAAGTACCAAACTGTGGTGAGTGTGCAGTGGGAAAGGAGTCGCAGTCCCAAAAGTCAGAGACCCTCAACCCAGTAGTTGAAGGAGAGGGGGGCCTTCCTTTGGTTTTGTGGTGGGGCACCTGCTCTGCCTGCATAGCCACTTCTCTAGGGAAGCCCTTCTCTGATTTTCTGTTTAGATTTTGCTATAAAGTTTTAATAACAACTATAGAAATTTTAATTAGGCACCCGTATAACCAGAAATCTTAAATGTAAATTTATCTTTACTTTGAGTGCAAGTTAAAATATTTTTCAGGCCCTGGCCAGTGTGGCTCAGTTGGTTGAGCATCGTTTCATGCACCAAGAGGTCACTGATTCGATTCCTAGTTAGGGCACATGCCTGGTTTTGGGCTCAATCCCCAGTAGGGGACGTGCAGGTGGCAGCTGATTGATATTTCTCTCTCACCGATGTCTCTCTCTCTCTCCAGCTCTTGGCCCTCCCCCCCCGCTTCCTCTCCCCCTCCCTCTCGCTTCCTCTCTCTCTAAAATCAATTAAACATATTTTTAAAAGATTGTTTTTCAGACCTCGTCTAGCAAGGTGTCTTTTCACGTTACCACAATTTTTCACTGTTCCTATTTATATTTCAGCAGCCCAGATACTGTTCTGTCCCTGCCAGGGAAGAATGTGTAGCCCTATTGGTGCAGTGTAGGGTCAGGAGGAAATGGAGAGGGAAGGCTCCTCCTCTGCTCACACAGCCAGAGGAGCTGGAGGTCTTTCTGGCAGCCTAGAAGAAGTGCTGTCCCTCCCAGTTCAGGGCCAGATGGTTATGGAGGACGCAGCCATTTGATGGTGTAGGTATGTCAGCTGTGTTCCTCGAGCATCATCGCCAAGACTTACCCCTATTGGTGTAACCTTGTTAGGGACTGTTGGGAACAGCAGCTGAGGTGTGACCATGGCCTGCGCAGGCATCCAGCTCCCTATGCCATGTGAACTTCCTGATAGGAGGGCTCTCCCACAGGGTTGACACCACTGACTGCTGGCACCCTTCTCAGCATCAGCCCAGCACTGGCTTGTGCTGAGAAGTGATGGGTGTTTCCCCATCCCTCTGGTGACTGGTGAACTTCCATGTAGTTAATTTCATACATGGGTGAAATTGGGGACAAACTCGGTACGGGTCTTGTTTTCTAGGAGAATCCTTCTGCCACCTTGGAGGACCTAGAGAAGCCCGGAGTGGATGAGGAGCCGCAGCATGTCCTCCTGCGGTATGAGGATGCCTACCAGTACCAGAACATATTTGGGCCTCTGGTCAAGCTGGAGGCTGACTATGACAAGAAACTGAAAGAGTCACAGGTGATGTGGTGTGTGCAGGAGGGTGTGGTTGTTTTAACACATCTCTCCTGAGACTGTTAGGATGGTTTTACTTGCAGGCTGCCAACACTACCATGGGCCTCGGCCCTGTGCCTAGAGAAACGGAGTCATGGATCGAGGGCAGATGCTCTGTCACTCAGAGCTAGACACTAGCCTGATTTTAAATCCAACAAAAGTCCCTCACAGTCGGGTTCGCAGTCTTTGCCCATTGCCACGAGCGTCAGATCCAAGGAGCCGCGGTCTGCAGAGGGCACTCTGTGCTAGTCCCACGAAGAGCATGTCTAGGAAGTAAGAGCCGCGGGGCTCCTGGGCCGTGCCCTCAGCTGCTGGCTTCCTTCTCTTCTTCCGAGGACCTCTTGAGAGCAGACGTCGAATGGGGGATCCTGGTTGTCTTCTGCGGGTTCTTAGGTCCTAATGACTTCTCTCCCAGGGGTGCCCTTGTTGGTGTTTCAGGCTGTTGGATGCTGCTTGATGCACCCCAGCATCATGGCTTATGGAGTTGCCGTAGGGCACATGCCTGTGGATACCCAGACACAGAAGTCCAGGCCATGTCTGTGTCACAGGCTAACAGGGCTCTTATTTTTCATGTGCTCAGACTCAAGATAACATCACGGTCAGGTGGGACCTGGGCCTTAACAAGAAGAGAATCGCCTACTTCACTTTACCCAAGACTGACTCTGGTAATGAGGATTTAGTCATAATTTGGTTAAGAGGTGATTTTAAGTTTTAAAATATTTGTGACCATAAATAGCATAATTCCTAGTTTGCCCTTGTAAAGTACCCCTTAATTTGAAATCTTCCATGGTAGCCTAGGCACATGTTGAAAACGCTTTTTGCTCTCTTTTTCCTGGAAGACATGCGGCTCATGCAAGGGGATGAGATATGCCTGCGGTACAAAGGGGACCTGGCGCCCCTGTGGAAAGGGATCGGCCACGTCATCAAGGTCCCTGATAGTATCCTTTGTGTGAAGAAGAGCTAGCACAGGGGATCTGTGTGTTGGTCACTGTGGAGACCAGTCCTGGGGCCTTGGGTGGAGAGTATGGCCATGGCTGGAGAGACCCCTTATAGTCAAGTTTGTTTCAAGCCACTGAGCCCTTCATTTGGACTCTGAGGGCACACATTTATATGTAACTAGTAGAAGCAATGCTTTACCTGGAGCCAGGATGCTTTGAGATGTTCACCTCATCTCTGAAGCTCACAGTCAGAACCTGGATTCTAGATGTGGCCAATCCATCCTGGCATCCTGGATGACACCCCAAGGTTCACGGGGTAGTTTGGGTGGGGGGTAGTTGCAGGGGACCGGGACACTGGACAGAATCTGTCAGAACGTGGGTCTCACTGGCTGTGTTGTTAACTTTTGGCACAATGGGAGAGAGATGTCTCCTCAGTAACCAAATAAGAGCTCCTCAGAAAGGTAAACCCAGCTTATGACAAGGATGAACCTTAACTCAGCATTGCAGATTATGGCGATGAGATTGCCATTGAGCTGCGGAGCAGTGTGGGTGCACCTGTGGAGGTGACACATAACTTCCAGGTGGATTTCGTGTGGAAATCCACCTCATTTGACAGGTGCGTCTGCCTCCAGCTCTAAATGATTCTCCTTTCCTGGGGCTGGGCTTACCACCAGCCTACATGGGCACGTAGCCAACCTGTTACTTTGCCACAGGATGCAGAGTGCGCTGAAAACGTTTGCTGTCGATGAAACCTCTGTGTCAGGCTATATCTACCATAAACTGCTCGGCCACGAGGTGGAGGACGTCATCATCAAGTGCCAGCTGCCCAAGCGCTTCACTGCACAGGGGCTGCCCGACCTCAACCACTCTCAGGTTCTTATCATCCTGGAGGTGGCTGGGGCCTGGCCTGAAGAGCTGCTGGGGGCGGGGGTGGGCCGAGGGCATCTGTACCCCCTAATGGCCACTTGTATCTGAAGGTTTATGCTGTGAAGACTGTGCTGCAAAGACCGCTGAGCCTGATCCAGGGACCACCAGGAACAGGGAAGACAGTGACCTCTGCCACCATTGTCTACCACCTGGCACGGCAGGGCAATGGGTAGGGATCAGCAGGCCTGACTGCAGGAATGTCTTGGGAGGGTTACCTGCTCACTGTGTTATACATTGTTTGTATTAGATCAGGCCTCTGGTTGCTTTTAAAAAGACAGCCTGCAGCCCTGTTGCTCTTCTTTTTTTAAAAGATTTTTTAGAGAGATGGCCAGTTCATGGGTGGGTGTTCAACCACTGAACTACACCAGTTGTTTGGCTCTCTCTGAAATTAAAAAACAACAACAACATGAAAAATATATATTTAAAAAGAAAGACTTATATATACATGTGTGTGTATGTATATATATGCTGATTTAGAGAGAGGAAGGAAGGAAGAGATAGAAACATCCATGATGAGAGAGAATCATTGAACAGCTGTCTCCTACATGTCCCCTAATGGGGACTGAACCTCGAACCTGGGCATGTGTCCTGATCAGGAATCGAACCAGCAACCTTTTAATACACGGAACAACACCCAACCAACTGAGCTACATTGACCAGGGCAAGCCTGCTGCTCTTAAAGGCAGCTCTGGTCAGTTCACCCAGGTGGTACTGTGCTGTATGTGCCTCAGCTTGGAAAGTCTTCACCATGAGATGGGGAGGGGTGAGGATGCAGGTCTGTTGTTAGCAATACTTTGCATGAGTAGAGTGAAAACTGGTTGGGGACAGGGAGTCCTGGACTGGCTGGGCTTTTAGCTCCTGCATTGTACCATTCCTGGCTTCAGTCTTTTTTTTTTTTTTTAAATCTCAGGAATGGAGAGGGAGAGAGAGATAGAAACATCAATGATGAGGGAGAATCATTGATCGGCTGCCTCCTGCACGCCCCCTACTGGGGATCAAGCCTGCAACTGGGCATGTGCCCTTGATCAGAATTGAAGCTGGGACCCTTCAGTCAGCAGGCTGACGCTCTATCCACTGAGCCAAACCAGCTAGGGCTCCTGGCTTTTAGTCTTAGGTTTGCACTGCCTGTGATTCAAAACAACAGTCTTAGGTTGTTTTGCATTTCATTAATCTCCTCTGGGCAAGCACTGAGATATTGATTCGCTTTATGTTTAAGGCCTGTGCTCGTCTGTGCTCCAAGTAACATAGCTGTGGATCAGCTGACTGAGAAGATCCACCAGACGGGGCTGAAAGTTGTGCGGCTCTGCGCTAAGAGCCGCGAGGCCATTGACTCCCCGGTGTCCTTCCTGGCCCTGCACAACCAGATCAGGAACATGGATAGGTGAGTGTCAGGTACCTGGCTGCAGGTGGGGGGGGTTCTCCTCTGTGTGGCCCTGGTGCAAGTCCTCCATGCCCACTGCTGTGCCTGTGCTTCCAGCATGCCAGAGCTGCAGAAGCTGCAGCAGCTAAAGGACGAGACTGGGGAGCTGTCATCTGCCGATGAGAAGCGGTACCGAGCCCTGAAGCGCACAGCTGAAAGGGAGCTGCTCATGGTGAGGGCCTGGGCCTTAGGGCATACGATGGCACCTTTAGTTAGGTTGGGCCTACTTTTGGAAGAAAGCATAGGTACCCTGAGACCACACAGGCATGATTTTTTAGTAGTTTCTACTGCCTGTCAGCCTCACTGCTGCTGGGAACTTGGGATCTTGGTCTGTACCCTCGGGGTGGGTCTGTTATTTCATGACAAATCAACCGAAAGTGGATCCCAGCCCAGCACCTGTTCCCCGGCTCAGCACTGCTCCCTAGAGGCTGTCTCAAGCACCGAACTGTCTGTGCTGAGAGGTTTTCTCTAGTAAGGCCCCACCACTTAGGACAGTGATGGCGAACCTTTTGAGCTCGGGGTGTCAGCATTTTGAAAAACCCTAACTTAACTCTGGTGCCGTGTCACATATAGAAATTTTTTGATATTTGCAACCATAGTAAAACAAAGACTTATGTTTTTGATATTTATTTTATATATTTAAATGCCATTTAACAAAGAAAAATAAAAAAAATGAGTTCGCGTGTCACCTCTGACACATGTGTCATAGGTTCGCCATCACTGACTTAGGATCTCAAAAGTTTATGTGAGTGCTGTCAGGGAGAGACAGCTTGTTTTCGTGGTTGTCAGGAGGGCAGGGACCAGAATGGTATCCTGTTCTGTCCTGCCTACCTGCCCTTTGGCACCTGGTAAACTGTACTGTTGCAGTTGCCCCTGATGCTCACACACTCTCTTCCCCAGAACGCGGACGTCATCTGCTGCACATGTGTGGGTGCAGGAGACCCCAGGCTTGCCAAGATGCAGTTCCGCTCCATTCTTATCGACGAGAGCACCCAGGCCACGGAGCCAGAGTGCATGGTCCCTGTGGTCCTTGGAGCCAAGCAGGTGAGCCAACCCCTTTCATGGTGTTCTTGTTTGAAAACTGGTGTGCATTCTCTCCTGTTCAGTTCTGTATAATTCTTAATGCTGAAGGTTGTGTGTGTTTTTTAACGTCCTGTGAGGCTGGGTTCTTTGGTTTTTGTTTTTAAACATCTTGTGACACCCTGGCAGAGCTCAGGGATGCATGGTGAGCCCTTTAAGGGGTCTTTGAGAGCATTTCTGTGTGCGTCCTGAATGAATGTCTGAGTATGTTTCATGTCTGTGGTGGGCAGTTTCTCATGCCCAGTCAGTATCTTACCACTGGAATTTGCATGACTCGGTGGTTATGTGGACCCTGGGCCCCTTAGTCTTCTGAGAATGGATGTCCCAGCTGCTTCATGCTTGAACTTCTCACCTGTGTGGGCCTCTCATCACAGCTGATCCTTGTGGGTGACCACTGCCAGCTGGGCCCCGTGGTGATGTGCAAGAAGGCAGCCAAGGCCGGGCTGTCTCAGTCACTGTTCGAGCGCCTGGTGGTGCTCGGCATTCGTCCAATCCGCCTGCAAGTCCAGTATCGGATGCACCCTGCACTCAGTGCCTTCCCATCCAACATCTTCTATGAGGGCTCTCTGCAGAACGGCGTCACTGCAGGTAATACTCGGCAGGGGGTCAGTGGGGACATGCGGTCGCTTCCTTCCTGAATGGCTTTATTAGCAACCATTTGTGTGCGAGGGGTGCCTCCAAGAGGTACCATGGTCAGCAGTACAGCATGTCCACTCTGCAGTGTGGATGCCCAGTTCTCAGAGCCCATGCCCTGGGGTCCACAAGATGGGAAGGCAAGACTCCTTTCAGAGTGAAGTTGGCATATGCCCTTTGCTGTGCTGACAGTTGCACTAATGGTTCAAAAGCAGCACTGGGAACCAGCAGGGATTTCAGCAGGAGTCTGGATGGTTCCACCAGACTCCTGTATGTCATCACTGCCTCACGCTTATGGCAACTAACACCCTAAGTGCATATCCTTGTGACACTGGTGGGTATGCAAGGTACTTGATGAATGAAGTACTCACTGGTCACTCAGCTGGGGGAGTATTTATTTTCCTGAAAACAAAGCAAGCTTATGACTTATGTTTTAAGAAAAACACTAACAGCCCGGCTGGCGTGGCTCAATGGTTGAGCATTGAACTATGAACCAGGAGGTCAGGGTTCGATTTCCAGTCAGGGCGCATGCCCAGGTTGTGGGCTCAGTCCCCAGTAGGGGCCATGCAGCAGGCAGACAATCAGTGGTTCTCTCTCATCATTGATGTTTCTATCTCTCTCTCCCTCTCCCTTCCTCTTGAAATCAATAAAAGAAATACATTTAAAAAAAGAAAAACACTAACAGTATTTACCACCAGTGATAAAATCTGAGGATTCAACAAAAATTAGTATTTTAGAACCCTCATGCCCCCTAGCATGAGCTGACTAAGTGTTCCCAGTGCTGAGTGGTTTTTCTGATGAGATTGAGGTGGTGGCAGTGTCTGAGGGGAGTCAGTAGGTACCTCTCATCCTAACAGCTAGCGAGGTTGTTGCAAAGTCAGTTGGGTCAAAGGCTGTCCCGTGCACAGGGCAGAGAAGAGAGGCTTTTGTCAGAGGCCTACCCGGCACCGTCTGTCCAGCTTTGGTGGAGAATTGGGAGAGTCCCACAGTTGTGGGGAAAGCTATAAAAGATGTCACCAGTCCTAGCTGATTTGGCTCAGTGGATAGAGTGTCGGCCTGCGGACTGAAGGGTCACAGGTTTGATTCCAGTCAAGGGCATATGCCCGGGTTGCGGGCTTGATCCCCAGTGGAGGGGAAGGAGGTGTGCAAGAGACAGCCAATCAGTGATTCTCTCTCATTTCTATCTCCCTCTTCCTCTCTGAAATCAATAAAATTTTTAGAATAAAAATCAGGATGAATATCTTGGCTGTGGAGGTTTCCCTGAGGAGTGAGGGGCCCAACCCCACTCCAGGCCCCCTAGCCAAGGGTTCCAGTACCAGGAAGAGAAGTCCCCACAATTCCTAGCTGTAAAATCAGCAGGAATTGTGGCTGAGTGGCATGGAGGCTGCTGGCCCCAGGCAGTTTCTCTTAAAGGGCTCTTACTCAGGAGTCACTCCCACTGAGCTCCAGCACTGGGGCAGCAGCTTGAAAGGAACCTGGGACATTCAAGGAGAAACTAACCTGCCTAGAATTAAAACAAGAGCTGGAGGGGCAGTTTTCTCCCAGACAGAAGTGCTGGCAGAGGCATTGTTTCTTTGCTGAGGCCCACCCTCACCCCCACGCCCCAAGCCAGCAGGCAGGGCACCATAGTTAAATCTCTATCAACCTGGCTCACACTTTTCACCCCACTCTGGTGATTCCCTGAAACCCCACACCACCCTACTTGCGGTCTCATCTAAGCTATTTCCAGTGGCTTTTTCATACAACTGGCCTCTCTTGCCTCAGGCTTTGGACTTTCTTAAAATTTCTCAAGCAAGCAGCAGCTGGCTTGAGTGTGCCCCATATCTCTCAGTAAGTGGCCCCAGGCTGAGCACTAGCAGCAGCTTTCCTTGATTCAGAGGTTGGCCTCTCCTGGACACCTTCAAGCCCAACACAAGTAGCAGCCATCTGCAGATTGCTTTGGCCCCGAGTAGGGCATAGGCAGACTTTGCACCTCCCAGGAGGCCCCAGAGTCTGTGCACCTGGTGGTCAGCTTCAGACCATGCCAGTTTACAACCCTACCACACTCAAAGGGGTGGACTCGGTGAGTACGAAAGCCCCACTAAAGCAAGTCCTGCTCCATGTATAGCAGCTCTTCAGCTCTAGTCACAGCCGATCCTCACAACCAATTGGCCTGGGGGTCAGTCCCTCCCAGTGATGCCAACATCAATCAAGGCATAGCTACAGTAGGACAGTGCACACAGCTCACACAGGGGCACAACTGAGTGCCCAGCTCAGGTGAGTGGAGAGGCTGAGTCACTGGGCCCTACAGGACACCTGCTACTCAAGGCTACTCTACCAAGTCCGGGAGACATAGCAGATCTACCTAATATATAGAAACAAACACTGGGAAGCAGCCAAAATACAGAGACAGAAGTGTCTCAAATGAAAGAACAGAAGGAGATTCTTCAGAAAAAGAACTACATGAAATGGAAGCAAGAAAACTACCTGATACAGAGTTCAAAATAATGGTTATAAGATGCTCAAAAAACTTACTGAGAATTTCAAGAAACTTAGAACTTGAAGGATCTTTATGAGAACATCAACAACATAAAAAAGGACCAGTCAGAAATGAAAGATACACTAAATGAAATGAAGAATAATTTACAGTGGAGTAGAGGGTGCCAAGAATAAAATCAACAATTTGGAATATAAGGAAGCAAAAAACACCCAATCAGCCCTAGCCAGTTTGGCTCGGTGGATAGAGTGTCAGCCTGCGGACTGAGGGGTCCCAGGGTTGATTCTGGTCAAGGGCATGTACCTTGGTTGCAGGCACATCCCCAGTGGGGGTGTGCAGGAGGCAGCTGATTGATGTTTCTAACTATCCCTCTCCCTTCCTCTCTGTAAAAAGTCAATAAAATATATTTAAAAAAACCAACACCCAATCAGAACAGCAAAAACGAAAAGAATCCAAAAAATATGAAGATAGTATAAGGAGCCTCTGGGACAACTTCTAGCATACCAACATTCACATTATGGGGGTGCCAGAAGGAGAGAGGAGAGAGCAAAATATTGAAAACCTATTTGAAAAAATGACAGAAAACTTCCCTTACCGAGTGAAAGAAATAGACGTACAACTCCAGGAAGCACAGAGTTCCAAACAAGATGAACCCAAAGAGGCCCACACCAAGATACATCATAATTAAAATGCCAAAGGTTAAAGACAAAGAGAGGATCTTATAAGCAGTAAGAGAAAAGCAGTTAGTTACCCTAAGGGAGCGCCCATATGCTGTGTCAGCTGATTTCTCAACAGAAACTTGGCAGGCCAGAAGGGAGTGTCAAGAAATATTTAAAGTGATGAAAGCTAGGACCTATAACCAAGATTATTCTACCCAGCAAAACTGTCATTTAGAATTAAAGGTGAGATAAAGAGCTTCACAGACAAGAAAAAGATAAAGGTGTTCATCACTACCAAACTGATATTACATAGAATGTTAAAGGGTCTTCTTTAATAAGAAGAAGGGGCGGGGGGAGATAAAAAATAGGAACAGTTGCCGTAACCGGTTTGGCTCAGTGGATAGAGCGTCGGCCTGCGGACTGAAAGGTCCCGGGTTCGATTCTTGGTTGCGGGCGCATCTCCAGTAGGGAATGTGCAGGAGGCAGCTGATTGATGTTTCTCTCTCATTGATGTTTCTAACTCTCTATCTCTCTCCCTTCCTCTCTGTAAAAAATCAATAAAATATATATTTAAAAAAAATAGGAACAGTAAAATGGCAAATACATATCTATCAGCAATTGAATCTAAAGATCAAGATGAACAAATAGGCAGAATAGAGGCAGACTCAGGTACAGAGAACATTTTGACGGTTGCAGGATTAGAGGGGGCTAGATGGTATGGGTGAAAAAGGGGAAGGGATTTAGAAGTACAAATTAGTCAAAGCCCATGAATACAGACAATAGACAGGTGAAAGCCTGGGACAGGGTGGGCGATGGGTGGAGGGAGGCAAAAGGGAAAACAGGGACATTTGTAATACTCAACAATAAAATAAACTTTGGGGGGAAAAACATTTGGCAGCAGACCCTGGAATAACGGGCCACTGTACTCACCAGCTGGCCTCTGTCCTCACTTGAATGATAGAGACAGACTTGACCTCCTTTCTAGCTTGACATGAAAGGGCATCATACCATGTATACTGGCATGTCAACGTTAGGCTATTGTCATGCAGAAATATCGGTTTCCTCACACTGATCTGCTGGATAGATGTGCTCCTCTGACAGGAGAGGTTGCTCAACAGTGTCATCCACAAAAGCCGATTGTAGAGGCTTTTGAGTCCTGTGAGGGCAGTAGTAAAGTTCTAGAAGGAAATAGAACATCTTCATAGGTTTTGTAAAGTGGCTGTAGAAAGCACCAAACAGTAAGACCTGTTCAGGGAATGAGCAGCTCTTTGTCGAGTGTCATGTGCACGGCTTCACTCAGTTCTTGCCTCTTGGGCAGGGGATCCTTTTGGTTGGCTCTGGCTGTATTTTTCTTCTCTGACGGAAAGTGTTGCCTCTTTTCCCTCCCCAATGACAGCGGATCGAGTGAAGAAGGGGTTTGACTTCCAGTGGCCCCAACCTGATAAGCCGATGTTCTTCTATGTGACCCAGGGCCAGGAGGAGATCGCCAGTTCGGGTACCTCCTACCTGAACAGGTATGCAGAGGTTTGCCTGCCACAACAGCTGGCTTTAGTGGCAGCTTGGCCAACTCTTAATTAATGTATGTAATGCTGGTCTGAAACTGCCCTCCTCACTCTGTTCTGTTTAGGTTTCTCAGGCCACAGCATATTCTCAGTTCGCTTTTCAGTGTTGTTTTTATGTTGAGCAGATTCTTTGTGTGTGTGTGTGTGTGTGTGTGTGTGTGTGTGGGGTGAGCTTTTTCTGTCCTCTATGACTCCCTTGGTCCAGGACAGGATGGCCCCAATGTGGGCATAGCTGCCCCGGCACCTCCCATAGCCTCTGGTCTCAGGAGTCCACAGGTGCAGCCCAGGGAACTGAATGCCTGGTTTCCTTAGGACGGAGGCTGCAAATGTTGAGAAGATCACCACGAAGCTGCTGAAGGCAGGTGCCAAGCCGGACCAGATTGGCATCATCACACCCTATGAGGGCCAGCGCTCCTACCTGGTGCAGTACATGCAGTTCAGCGGCTCCCTGCACACCAAGCTGTACCAGGTGCGAGCTCCATCTCCCTCTGCCACACTGACCTTGATCACCTGGCCAGGGAGGTTTGCATTCGAATGTTAACCTTTCTGCTGAGTCCTGCAAATCAAGACTGTCTTAAGAGTCAGAAATGTGAGACAAGGTTCATAAAGTTGTTTTTCTCAGGATACTTTTCAGAGCATAACTTGAAAAGGCTCCAGGGTTGACCGTTAGGGCTGTGGTGTGTGCTACTTTGTAGTAGTTGTTTCTTATCCATGAGAAGGCTGTCCACTTTTGGGTCAATACCTGGGTAAAATGTCCAGGTGTATCTCATGAGGGTGCAGGACAACATAATTATTTTTCCATGTGGAAATGAACCATACTATAAAGTATGGTTCTGACAGTGACATGTGGTCTTCGTTCTGTTAACTTGGGAACAGTCTCGGGTGTTATAATGAGCAAGTACGCTTTTATTATTGGGAAACAGATTCCCAAAAATAAAAAGACAAAGCGGGAAGGCCAGGAGAGCAGGGCCGGGGACCAGGGATTCAGTGGTGCATTTGGACATGCTTCATGTTGCCTATGGGTCTTTGAGGGCAGCCAGCTGACTGACCATGACCATGTGTCCCTGCAGGAGGTGGAGATTGCCAGTGTGGATGCATTCCAGGGGCGTGAGAAGGACTTCATCATCCTTTCCTGTGTGCGAGCCAACGAGCACCAAGGCATCGGGTTTTTAAATGACCCTAGGCGGCTTAACGTGGCCCTGACCCGAGCAAGGTACAGTGGTTGAATCCTGTCTGGGCTTGTAGGTGGCAATTGCCACCTTCCTGTCTCAGGGTCCTTCAGAGGGACTTTTCCTCAGGGTCTGGCTTTGGGAGGCTTCTCACTTCCTGGTCCTCTTGTTAACAGTCCTCGCACCCCAGCCACACCTTGGACTGGCAGTACAGGGCCTGGGATGGGGCCTTCGTCAGTTCCTGAGGTCCAGAGGCTACAGCAACAACTTAGAAAGCAGGGCTCACCTGCAAGTACTTTGCTTGTGTGTCCTGGTGGTTTTCTGTGGTCTCAGTCTCATGGACAATGTCCGTTCTGGCCCTTCTGACTTGAGATTCAAACCCAGTGCCTGGAGTGTGTCCCTGTCGAGTTGTTGAACTATGAGTCTAACGTTTTGGCCCTGACTCCTTTTTGGTTCTGGGATGTAACTGCTCTGAAATAGTGATAACAGCAGAAGAGACTTGGAGAACAAGGTGGCTCCCATGCTGCCCTGTGCCAGCCAAGGTCAGGCTCATGTTCCCACATCAATTCTTTCCCCACCCAGGACACTTGGTTTTCATGGTTACCCCCTTTCTGTTGTACACTATTGTTAGGTGGCCAGCATGGGGACATGTCCCTAACACAGCTGGGTGAAGGTAAGTGTCCACAGAAGCTAGGCCCAGGCTCAGGCATCAAGTTACATGCCTAGTCAGGATCCCTGAGGCATCTCAGGAGGCCGACTTGAGGCTACAACAAGGAAACTAGTCTCTGAGCTAACCTGTCATCCGGGGTTTTTGTCATCTGAGCCCCTAGAAATCCACTTCCAGATAAACTGCGTGCACTGTTAACAGCTTGTAGGGTGGGCTCCAGTGCCAGTCGTCATGGGCAGGCCAGGCATCTAGGCAGGGAGGCTGAGGGTGGCCCCCAGTGACTTTGGACTCAGGTTTTGAATTTGTTTGGCCTCAGACTGTTGTATGTGGTGTTTGTTTGCTATGAGGCCATAAGCACCATGTTCTTTGCGCCCACACCTTGCAGATATGGAGTCATCATTGTGGGCAACCCTAAGGCCCTGTCCAAGCAGCCCCTGTGGAACCACCTGCTGAATTACTACAAGGAGCAGAAGGTGCTGGTGGAGGGGCCTCTGAATAACCTGCGGGAGAGCCTCATGCAGTTCAGCAAGCCCCGGAAGCTGGTCAACACCATCAACCCTGTGAGCTGTGGCCGATAGTCAGGAGGGTTGGGACCCCTTTTCCTCCAAGCCCCCATTTTGGCACCTGGCAGTGAGCGATGGCTGGTGTAGCCTGTGGAAAGCATGTGCATGTCAGTGTGTGAAGAGGAGCAATGCATGCTGGCTCCCCACACCAGTGTCCTGAGGTCTGGGGCTATACGGGCTGCGAAGTCCTGGGGGTATCTAGGAGTGAGACAAAGGCAGTTAGGAAACCTTGTGAACCCAGGGTGCCTTGGGGGGTGAGGGGTACAGGGCTGTTTGAACGGAAGCCAGAGATGGAATGTTGAGCATCAAAGAGGAGTTATTGAAAGAGGAGTGGGATTTCTCACCTACCCAAACCCTCTGCAGGGAGCCCGCTTCATGACCACAGCCATGTATGATGCCCGGGAGGCCATCATCCCAGGATCGGTCTATGATCGGAGCAGCCAGGGTAAGTCCTCTCTGTGGGGGCCTGGGCCAGCACTGAGGATGTTGACCCTTCCCACGCCTGCACTGCATCTGTCCACAGAAACCTGCCTGACAACGAGTTCCTTCTCAGCTTCCCTCTCTGAGATCAAAGTGTTGGTCTTTGGCAGTTTCTAAAAAGAAGATATTTTTAAATAACACAGTTCTGCCGGGTTGCCCCCATGCGCCCCCCGCCCCCCGCCCTGTGCTCCCCTTTTCAATGGGAACTCATACATGCAGTTCCTCCAAGTGGCCTGCAACCTCATTTCAGGTTTTGTCTCTTTCCTGAAGTCCCCTCTTGCTCTGTCAGAGCTCTGAGTTGGGAGCATGTTCTCGTCTCCTAGTGGAGTCTCTGTATGTCCCAAGGCTGAGTCTGACCCCTGCTGGTGGGAACACCTCTCTTCCTGCCTGAGCCAGTGTAAACGGTTCTCTTTCATCCCCCAGGTTCTTGCCTGCTGGGACCCTTCCCCACCCCAATCAGCACAGAGGGTGACACAGTGCCCTGTCACTCACTTCAGTGCCACCTGCCCACGTTTTTTACTGTGGGCTTTGTTCCCTCCTATGCTCAGTATTCATCCTGAGGGCAGGTGTACCCCAGCTCCTCTTACATGTTCTCGGCAGCCCCCTTTCTTTGACCCTGTATTTGCCTGGCCTCTGGGTTCAGATTGGGGATCGTGTTCTCTAACAACAATCCTCTCATCACCACATCCAGCAAGTTGCTGTGTAGCTGAGGGTGTCCAAGGCCTGTGCTTCTTCTCTCAGTCCCCAGGGGCTGACCCAGAAGACCATGTTTTGAAGTCCGTGGGGGCCTTTGGTCTGTGGAGCTTAGGCATCCTCTTGCTTTTTAGTGTGTGTGGTATGAACATATGTGTTGGCACAGAAGGGACCACTTTTATTTGAAATATGGAGTGGTAGTTCTGTTTGTCAGGTCCCTGTAGTTGTGTCAGAATCCCTAGGGGAAAAGGTGGTTTCCCAGGCACCACCCCCAGCAGGCTGAGAAGGGGATTGATGGTGAGAATCTGCAGCAGGCAGTTCTTGCCATGGGGACACCCTAAAAACTGCAGGCAGAGCAGTGACAGGATGGGATAGGCATCCCACTGCAGGCAGAGTAGCTGACTGGAAGTAGGCAGCAGACTCACCTGTACACAGTGGAGAACTTGCCATTCACCCTGTCTTACAGGCCGGCCCTCGAACATGTACTTCCAGACCCACGACCAGCTCGGTATGATCAGTGCTGGCCCCAGCCATGTGGCCGCCATGAACATTCCCATCCCCTTCAACCTGGTCATGCCACCCATGCCACCACCAGGCTATTTTGGACAGGCTAATGGGCCAGCTGCAGGTGAGCGAGCACCAGGCCTCGGAGCAGAATCACTTGTCATTTAGGCTTAGACCTCCTTCAAGGAATCCTGCTGCTGTATTTCAGGCCGAGGCACCCCAAAAGGCAAGACGGGTCGTGGTGGACGCCAGAAGAACCGCTTTGGCCTTCCTGGGCCCAGCCAGACAAACCTGCCCAGCAGCCAGGCCAGCCAGGATGTGGCATCACAGCCCTTCTCTCAGGGGGCCCTGACACAGGGCTACATCTCCATGAGCCAGCCCTCCCAGATGAGCCAGCCTGGTCTCTCCCAGCCTGAGTTGTCCCAGGTGAGCTGGCTACACAGAACTTGAAATACATCCACTTGCAGAGAAGTTAGGCCAACCCAGGGTGCCCTCCCCACACACACACAGACACCGACACCCCTTGACACACTCCCCAAAGGACTCAGAGGATGGCCTCCTGCGTGGCTGCCCTCAGCAGTGGTGCTGTGGGTTTAGAACATTCTGTCCATGATGCTGCCCTTTCAAACAGTCCTAGGTCACCCGCCTCAGTGATGAGGTAACCAGTGTGGGTCTCCTGCTGCTCAGGTTTCAGGACTACTTTTTCAGACTCTTCTCTGGGCTTGGGAGGGGCTGAACACACAGCAGATTCTCAAAGTTGCAAGGACATGTGCCAGTTCTCTGGCTGCTCATCTCCCCAACTGTGTCTTTCAGGACAGTTACCTTGGTGATGAATTTAAGTCCCAGATTGATGTGGCGCTATCGCAAGATTCTACGTACCAAGGGGAGCGGGCGTACCAGCATGGTGGAGTGACGGGACTGTCTCAGTACTAGAAGGCAAGCCAGCTCCGGAGGAGGGCTTCACCGGGACCTGGACTTGTCAGAAAACTCGGGAAATGTGGGAGTCTTAAGTTCAGGAGGGGCCAACTCATCATTGTGACCTGTCACTACAGGTCCCTGCACCTCTCCCTGTGTTATGTCCTCTCCTGCGAGTCCTAGAACTCCTGAGAAAGGCTGATTGTGGAGGCCCGTAACCCCCTGGGCAGGCAGGGAGGTGGACACATCGCTTTCCCTGACTGGCAGCTTGTGAGGTGATGGGTCCTGGCACTAGATGCATAGGGAACTTGTGCAGAAGGTGCCTGTGAGTCATGCCTTGCGGTTCCCATCTGTCGGTGTGCCAAGGAAAGCTGTGTGCTGGTGCTGCTGGGAGGAGGGGTGCCACTGTTATAGCACAGGCTGTAGCCTTAGCATTTGACTGCCTTCTGTCTCTGGTTGGAGAGTCAGTGGTCTAAGGGCTGTCCAGCACGTGAGGTCCCATTTTACAGGTGAGAACATAGGTGCTAAGTGGAAGTAGGGAGAAAGCACCTTGCCTTCCAGGCAGGGCTGGGCTCGTACTTTCTCTGAAAGCCTGTGCCCTCTCCCTCCCTCTCTCTACAGGTGGCAGCGGAAGAGCTAAGCTTTGTGGCTTAGTCCATCAGCATCTTACTCTGGGTAATAAAAAATAAAAATAAATGGATACCTGTTTTCCACTGCTAAAACTGAAGCACCACTGTGAGCAACAGGAGAGGGAGAGGAGCACCCGAGGGAGAGCAGCCCGAGATAGTGAGCGCCCACTGCTGGCACCGCGGCGAGGAGACAGAGGGAGAGCGGAGGTGGGGCCGGCCAGCCCGAGAGCCCTGCAGCCAGCTCGCCAAGGAGGCCCAGCTCGCCGCGTCTACACCTGGGTCTGCGACCAGGAGGAGGGAGGAAGACCCTCATCTCAGAGTAGCCCTTTCCTCTGTTCTTTCTTTCTTTTTCTCTTTTATTGAAAGGGGACTACGTTTTATCAGGAACAACTCACATTTCTGTGCTGAACAGGCTCCTTGCAGCCGTGCCTAGAGAGCCCCGCTGAGGCGCGTGTTCTGTCCACACTGAGACCTTGCAGTCACGCTGCCTGTGTTCTAAGAGGGTTTTCATTTAAAGAAAATGTGGTGTTTGGGGTTTTCTGTTTGTTTCTTAAAGATTCTTTCAAAGGAGTACTGAAAAATACTTTCCTGAGTTTGTCTCTCAAATCTTAGTGGTGGACCTGGGAGATGCAAGAAGCTTCCAGAAACGAAGTTTAAACGAGCCACACAACGAGGTTAGGATGAACACCTGTGACGCGATCATGGAGAGGAAGATTTTTGTTTTCAGCTTAGTTTCCAGCAGCTTCTCCCTGTGCGTCAGGGCAGTGAGAGAACATCACCTGGGCCCACGGGCTCCGCTGGACTCCGAGAAGCAAGGCACTTCTCACATGCAGTGGACTCAGTCCCCTGAAGGGCCCAGCAAAACTAGCCATGAGGCTGGAGGGTGGGGAGGTGGTCGTTCCTCAGCCAGCGGCTGCTTCCCCAGGGAGGCGGCCACGGTCCCTGTGGCCATCAGACAAGCCGAGAGCCTTGCCCCCCCCTTTCTCTCCACCCCACTCCCAAATTTTGAGCCCTTCTACCTGTGAGCATAGCTTCAATGAGTTGGGGTGGTTTTCATTTTATTTGGGAAAAGAAGTTTCAGAAATACGTTGGTTCTGTGCTGAAGGTGCTTGGGGGAGTGTATCACTTCAGCTGTACAGACGCATCAACCTGGATCTGCATTGTGGAAGTTCTTGTGGTTGTGAAAGGTCCCCTGTGGGGGCAGGTGTTTGTCACCGTGGTGACCACCAAGTTGACTGTTTCCTGCCTACCCAGGTCCTAGTGACCATGACCCCAGCATCCCTTCCCCATGCGTCTGACACTGGTCCTTAACCCAATACCTCCAGATGCCACCTGGTACACGGAGAGACAGGGACACACAGGCACCTTTCTTCTGGCAAGGCCTCTTAGCCCATTGCTGTAGGGCTTTTGGTAGGCCACCTAGAGGCATTGCGCTTGGATAGGCTTCTGCTGTGACCCTGTGCGCGCGCCGCCCCCCCCCCCCCAAACTGCCCTGTTCCTTTTTTGGAGTGCTCTACCTCGCTCTGTGCTGTTGGCTTTTATTCACCTTCTAGCAGCAATTACTCTGAGTTTTCCAAATCAAGGAGCATCTGTACCAAGGCAATGTCACTTCTGATTTTTGGTCAATTTGTTTTAAGCTCTTTTGTCACCAATAAAATGTTAAAAACAACTCTTGGATGTGTCACAGAGCTGGATAAGCTACAGGGGGTGGGAGAGCACTTAGGTCTGGGGTCCTGCAGTCTGAAGGGCAAAGCTGAGAAGGGCTGGGTCAGCAGACTGGAAAGTGTGTGTGTGTGGGGGGGGGGGGGGGGGGCGGTGGCGACTCCCAGGGTCCCCTTAGATGTAGAGCCGCCTGTATACAGCCTTCTAAGAGGGCCGGTGGCTCCAGACCGCCCTTCCCCCACCAGCCTGATGGATGTCAGTACTCCCCCAGCCCCAGGTGACAAGACCCAAAGACAGCAGCTCAAACCACCCAGTGTTTATTGTGTCCCCGCTCCTGCACGTCTGTCAGCGGCAGCCGCACTCATCCACCACCATGTCCTCGTAGTGCCGCAGGACCACGTTGTCGCTGTTGTCGAAGAAGAGCACGGAGATGGGTGACAGGCGCGCGGGAACACAGCAGGGCAGGCCGGCAGGACCCGGGGCTGCCGAGGGCATGAGCGCGCGCAGCACGGCGTGGTTGAGCGCGGGCGGCCCCCCGGGCCCGGGCAGCGTGGCGGGCAGCGAGCACTGGCCCTGGCAGTAGTTGGCCAGGAAACCGCGCGGCGCAATGACCCAGCGATGCCAGCCCACCTCGCGGAAGCTGACGTAGAGCCGCCGGGCGCGACAGGAGCCCCCGTGGCCGCCACCCACTGAGGGCTCGGCCTCGCGCCGCGGCCGGGCGAAGGGGTGGCACAGGCGCGGGTCAAGGGTCACCAACAACAGTGAGGCCTCAGCCAAGCGCCCGCAGGTGCCCGTGTCCCGGGGGCGTAGCGCCAGCACCAGGCGGAGGCTGCGTGGTACTGAGGCGTTGTGGGCCCAGGTGGCGCCCAGCAGCTCAGCGCGCACCGGTGTCCCCAGGGAGACCACTGCCTGGCGGAGCAGCACGGGGCCTGCGCCCACCTCCTCTGCCGCCTGCGCCACGCTCAGCTCCCAGCCGCCTGCTGTCTCCGCCGCAGCCGCTTCCTCCGCTGCGAAGCGCAGCTCCAGACGGGCTCGGCTCGGGAGCTCGGCGGGGTCCACAGCCGACAGGTCGAAGATGAGGGTCCATTTGGGACACTGCCCTGCCGCCGAGGGCTCCGTGGTCCGGGCGCGTGCGCCTAGGGAGGCCGGGAGAGGGCTCAGCTCTCGTCGTGTCACCGCCTACGCGCGAGGGGTCTCGGTTGGGAACTTGGGGGGAAGGTTAGTGCCTGAGGCCGAGGGCGCACCATCTGTTACTTGGCGTCAAATGGTGTGCAGGAGGGGGAGAGATGGAGTGTGGGCGGGGCATCGCTTGCAAGGAAGAGACCTGCCCCATGCTGGGTGGCCTGCCCGTCGGGAACACAGGCAGGGGGCAGCGATGAGCAAACGCCTGGGTAAGCGAGGCTGGGGCGGGGTGTCATCGGCAGGAAGGCTTCAAATGCTGTGAAGCAGCGGGAGTGAGGGAGAGTGGGGGCAGGGCTCCAGCTGCAAGCAAAAGGCCTTGCCGGGTGCAAGGCGGCCTGGCCTTGTGGCCACTCACCCGGGTCCCCGCAGGTGTCCACGGGAGAAGGGATGGAGTACAGGGGCTCAGGTTGCTCGTGGGCTGGACTGGGTGGGTGGAGACCCTCGAAGTCACTGGCAGCTCGTGGGGGGCTAGGGTGCCCAGGGAGGTATCGGCCTCCCAGACCCGCACCCCCAGAGCAGGCACCACTCACCGCGGTCCGCGATGTGGCGCACGATGTTTCCGGCGACCCCCAGCTCCTCCACGTGACACGGTCGTAGGGTGGCCCCC